TTCAAGGTATTGCACCTATATCTCATTTAACAATTTAATGCAAATTTCTAGTCCTTGAAAATTATTATTACCAACTGTTTAGGATATTAACAAAATATAAGTTAATAGTTAATCACCTAGTATAATCGAACTTGTAGTCACATTAGATATGTTTTCAAGGTCAAACAAAGATATATTTTAGATAGGTCATCTTCAAACACTTCAGAAATTTACATAATATGGCATTTAAGGTGTTTTAATAACTTAAGTTCTTTTTTTATGACAATAAGATATGTCTGATCCTGGCAGCACCAATCTACTTCAGAGAAGATAATGCTCATCAAATAACCTTCACATGGAGTTTCCTTGCTTTGTGGCAGAAGTAAGCCACTGTGCAAGAAAATGTCCCTGCCTCGACTGCTGACAATATGTTGTCCTAATTAGACAAGCAGGACACAAAAGAAAGTGACTGCCAAACATTACCAAGACAAGGAGGGACAGCCCTTTAGAATATCCTGCTTCACAGAAAAGTCCGTCAGATATGCTAGGCCTATAGGCTGAAGATGGATGCCCCAACATTGCAGAGGAATTTTGGGTGACTGTCCAGGCAGCCAGCTGTTTCTATAATTACTCACATTTTTTAGAAGTTTCTTACTTGCACTTCCTGCTTACTCAATTAATATTATTTTCTTCTTGGGTCTCTGAGGGAGTTGAAGACTAGATATAGTTTTCCTTGTTTACCAGACACAGAAGTCAAGTTATGATAGAAAGTAAACTAGGTACAAAACTTTGGACTCACCAGGATAGGATAGATATGGAATATTTTCTCTTAATTTGTCAAATGCAAATGGACAAGACATTGTTGATGTATATTTGGCCTGTAAATACTGTATATAGTTATTGTACTTATTATATATAATTTGTCTTATATTAGTTATAGCTTTCCTTTTTATTTTAGACAAAATGGGGAAATGTGGTGGCATTTTATAAATAAAGCTTGCCAGAAGACCAGAGAGTAAAACAGCCCCATTGGTCAGCCTTCCAGAGCAGGCAGTAGTAACACACACCTTTAATCCCAGTAGCCACACTAGTTGCCATAGAAACTAGGTGGTACATGCCTTTAATCCCAGAACTAGAGGTGATTATAAAACAGGAGGAGACAGCTCTCAGTCACAGTCTCATTCTGAGATTCCTGGAGGCAGGATCGCCATTTCAGACTGAGGTAGAGGTAAGAGTCATTGGCTAGTTGTTTTGTTTTTCTGATCTTCAGGTCTCTCTCAGCTTTTATTAATCATGCTTCGGTTCAGCATGATAACCTGATTCACAAAGGAAGTTTAGAAGTTTTTTGTTGTTGTTGTTTTGCTTGTTTTTTGTATTTTGAGAATGGGTTTCTCTGTGTAACCTTAGCTGTCCTGGAACTCATTCTGTTGACCAGGCTAACATTGAGTTCAAAGATTGCCTGCCTCTGCTTCCTAAGTGCTGGGACTAAAGGCTTATGCCACCACAGTCATACATGGAAGTATAAAATTCTTAAATAACTTCTTAGTAAAGAGAACTGTACACATAAATTTTTCAAGAAAAAGTGTTTGCTAATATCTTTGTAAGATAATAGTGTTAATGATATTAAATTGATGGTCAGTTTTACAAACATCCATTTTGTTTTCTGAGACAGTTTGGCCTCAAACTTGAGATCCTCCTGCCTCAGCCTCTGAATACTGAGAAGTATGTGTCATGGTGCCAGGCTCAGTTTTTAAAAATAATAGCTGATTAGAGGTAGAAGAGGAGAGACAGTCACTCCTAAAGCACACAGAAAGGAGTTTGAGTGTCTACTCAAAACAGTAAGATTTTCTGAAATAGATTATTTTTGTGATCACTTCATAGTTTATGTTCATAAGGCCATTTATACGAAATACACAAATATTATTCTAAATAAATGATTTTCTGTCTCACACAGAATTATCTTATAATCCAGATCACTGAAGTACAGCATGCAATTGACCAACTTAAGAGAAAATTGGATACTGATAAAATGAAACTCATATTAGAAGTTAAGGTAATCTATATTTCTCCTAATCAGATTATAACATTCATCTTGAAATAAATTAGTTTGGAGTTTATCCTTAAACATCAATATTGTAAGGATAGCCATACTGACTCTTTAAATTAGTGCACTTTAACAGCAAAGAATATGGATTTAAAAATGTGGGAAGAAAACTAAATACTCTAAAAAGATGCATGTTACAAGGCTAAAGAAAAGTTAAATAAAATTTTACTAGAAGTAATTAAGAGTTAAAGGATCATGTGAATCGGTATAATATAAACAGAAAAACACTTTAAAATAGTTTTCTACATTTTCTGACATTCATAAATCTGACAAACCTCCTAATAAGCCTCTAACTCCCACTTAATTTGTTCCCTTTTCTTGGATAATCATTTTATTGTTGTTACTTTCAAAAATATAAAGTATGGCTCTTCTGCTAGATGCTAAACTTTGAATTTTATTTACTCCTATCTAGTACATGGGACAGTGCGGTTCTAGATGCATTTCACTTCCCTGAAGGCTGCCTCAGCACTAGGATGCTTAGGATTTAAGGGGGAAAGAACACAGGATAATTTTATTAAGTAGTATGCAATAAAAATAATTTGTCCAGTGAAGGGAACCATATCAGTTCAGTATGTGGAGAAGAAGCCAAAGTTGAGACTTGTATACCCGAGGATAGTGGGGATGCAGAAAGGAGGGTGTCTAAACTTTCAGTCATGACTTCCTCCACTTTCTTCCGGAGAGCATGCACATTAGAGTTTACACTTGTGACTTATGACTTGACCCTAAATAGTAATTCAGTTTTAAAGACAAGAAATTTTCATCTTACAGATTGGAAGAAAAAAAATCCTGTATTTAATCATAGTGCCTAAAAGACATGTAACCAATAGTATTTATTGACTTCTGAATGAACCACTTAAAACATCCCCACCAATACCATTGAGAAATACAAGACAGAAACCATATTTATTCAAGGTAGTGGTGCATAAGTAGTGCTTCTGAAGTTTATTGGTTTTATCTTAACAGGAGAATTTGTTTACAATGCAGCATTTGACTTCATAAACCCAGGGGAGCCTGAGGTTCTTTATTCCTAACAAATTCATAGGTGGTGCTCACGCTTTTGGTCCATACACAGTATGTGGAATACAGGTGGCTGTTCCAAACTTGTAGTTTTATACTCTGAGCAAAGTACTCAGCCTTTTGGTTGGCTCATTTCCTTAATTATAAAATGAGGAAATCAAAGGTTTAAGACCCTTAGAAGCATTTTGGGCACAAGTGTATCCTATTATGTGTCTTAACTATCCATTTCCTAAAGGCTCTTGTATTCAGGATCCTGTTACTGCCTGTTTTACTTGTTACACACTGAGATTCTGAAGCTAAAGTTCCTAAAAGTAAAGTTCCTTTTATTCTATATTTTGAGACATTTCAACTGCCCTTTATATACTCATAAAGGATGTTATGCCATGCTCATCTAGCTAGATAAGAATGCCTATTTAGCCAAAATGGATAATTCAGCTTACTGTAGTGATCTAGCAAGAGTGAAGGCATGGAGGGTGAGGCCAGTTCCCACCATGCCATCTGTTTAGAAAGCTGGGATGAAGCCCATTTTTAAAAGACACCTCTTTCTACAGATGAGGAAACAAGCAGTTTCAGATTTACAGATGCTAAAAGCTGAACTGACACAGAAGAAAATGGGTTCATCCTTCCGATCACCAATATGTATGTTCACTTAACTTACCTCTTGAAATTTTAGATGAGGATTTGAACAAAGTAAGCCATTTTGTTTCTTGGCAATATTTTTTTGTAAATCATAAGGTTGATGTATCAGTTAAGAATAAATTTAAAAAAATACCCACGTTTTGTGTGGGTATTGCAAGTTATAATATAAATTTAAATAGTAACTATTTTGAAGACCATTACATATTTTATAGTCCTACATTTTATAATTTCTCATTTTTAATAATGTTAAAAGGGAATGTTATGGCAAAATTAATGATTAGCAAAATGTGTAATGTTTCAGTAAATACCAATATATTTGCCTAGAAATAGAATCTATTATATTAATGATATTTTATTAAAAACAATTGTATATACATGTACGGCAAACTTGTGTCTAATGTAATTTGTACTGCTTTTAGAAATATAAAATGATTTTTAAAAATAAAGTTATTCAACATATACTAATGAAGTAAATAATTTTACTGTCATAAACAACTGTGTAAATAGAAAACATAACATTATCATAACATACTTGATAAATCACTTATTCCAGTTTGGAAGGGAATTATATGTAAAGGTAGTATTTATGTACATGGAGTTCAAAGGATACAAATTGTGATGAGTCTTTTTCTGATCCTGCCAGCCAGCTCCTAAATAATGACACTGAGACTTCTTATTAGTTTTGAAAACTCAGCCGATAGCTTAGGCTTGTTTCTAACTAACTCTTATAACTTAAATTGACCCATGTCTATTAACTTACTTTCTGTCATGTATTCCTCATATCTGTATTGCCAGTCTTGCTTGCTCTGTGTCCTTGGAGGCTTCACTTTTTCTTCCCAGTGTCCTCTCTGCTCAGAAATCCTGCCTAGCTATTGGCTGTTCAGCTTTTTATTAAACTAATCACAGGAACACATCTTCACACTGTACAAAAAGATTATTCCGCAACAACAAACATTTAATCTATGTATTTTCAGGAAGTAATATATATTTATAATGTTATGGTTTATTGTATTTTTATTTAATGTAATATGCACAGATGTTTGTATGTCTGTGTCCTATGTGTGTGCCATAAGAGTGTGTCGGATCCCCTGGAACTGGAGATAAAAGATCCCTGAAGAAATGGAGTTGTGAGCTGCCCTGTAGGAGCTGGGAATTGAAACCCGGCCCTCTGGAAGAGCAGCCAGTGCTCTTACCTGCTGAGCCAGCTCTCCAGACCTATAACACTGTTGTTAGTTGCTTTGACAAAGAGAACAAAAACTGCTTTACATTTAGAAATTTATTTTCACAAAAGTGATCTTTTAGAAAAAGACAGTAAGAATAATGTTCTTATGTAGCTTAAAAGCAAACTGCAAATGTCGAAGAAAAACAAGAAAACTAGGCAAGAACTGAGCATTAATAAGTGAAGGACCATGAATGACTACAAGTATAAACAGTGAATAGAATCAAGTTCAACATCAGCTTCTTCTTACTACAAGAATTTTACACATAAATCTCACAGCAGGTACTTCTAATTTACTGGTTCAAATATTACCAAATTATCTTCTCACGTTTAATTTGTATGCATACTTTTATCTCATGCACTCTCTAATGGATTAAGTGATGCTAATGTGGGTATGTCATGAAGCATTCGTATGTACTATGAGGTTAGGAAGCAGAAAAATCATGTCTAATTATTTTCATGAATCTGAAGAGATACCATATTCCTGGTTCTAAATTTAAGATTTGTTGAAAATAAATTCAACATAAACTGCTTTTCAAAGACTAGACCTTAAAGTCTGTTTGAAGCCAACTATTTCCATTTCAAGTTACAGAGTTCTTGTCAATTTTTTATTAGCATGTAATAATTGTAAAAAATAATGGGCTTCATTCTGATATTTTTATACATGTGTATAACCTAATTTGATCATATTCATTCCCCACCACATCACTCTCTTTTGTCCACTAGTTACACATTTTTTAAAATCAGTAATAATTTTTAACAGTATATTTTAATACCAGGAGAGAAAATTCACCATGAAATTTTGAAAGCAATTTTTCTAACTAAATTGTAATATTGAAACATAGAGGAATATTTAATAGAGTATGTTGACTTGTTTCTTGCTTTTCTATTCCTGGGATATCTAAGATATGTATGTATCTTTTATGTTCAAATGAAAAATTTATTTCTTACCTGTTTTTTGAGTATCCCAATAGGTAAGTTATGACAACATGAAAAAAATATAAATTTTTTTCTTTGCATGAAATTAGACCCACTTATACAACTCATTCTTGCAAAATCTAATAGTCTGACAAAAGATGCTCCTCTCTCTTCATCACAACCATGGTTTTAAGGCTCCCCACATTGCTTTCGTTTGCTCTCTGGCTAGAGTGTCTTCTGAGTAATCCAGACAGTTTGCATTCCACATGCCAATGCCCCGCAAGCCATAGTTTTTGACATATGCCGCCTTTAGTGAAATGCTCTGGGGGTTATCATACCACACTTGATGAAAACGGCCAGCAGGATCCTATACAAAAACAAGTAAATTGGAAATTTACAGAATTCAATACAGCAGAGGAAAAGTTCTTAAATTCAAGGATTCAAAATGCATGCAAAGAAATAATGAAAACTTTATAGCACATTACTTTCCTGCTCTGTTACTTCATGGTTATATACATGATCTTCCTAAATATTATCTTGACTGTCAACTCAGATGTACACTTGAATCATTGTAAATCATGGAGTGTTACATTTATAGACTCTAGCAGGGTCTGGTGATGAGCACCTGGCGCTCTCAAGGACGAGGTGAGAGGATCATGAGTTCAGGGCTAGCCTACGCTACACAGTGAGGCCTTGTCTAGAACAACACAAGACAGAACTAACAGTTCAGATCCCTAGGTCTCACTCTGCATAAAACTGACCGAATCAAATCTTCTAAGGCGGATGCTAGGATTCATATTTGTTTGTCCTCTGTTTTAATATTCCACTGGGTAACTGATATGCAAGTCAAGTTAAAAAGAGAAACTGCTGCTGTCCATTAAAACCAGCTTGTTTGCTTGTTTGTTTGTTTGTATTCTTTACAGTTTCTGGAAGTGTGCCAACTTAGGAGTTCAACAGATGAAGATTGTTTGTGATAAATCAGTCAGAAGGACAGGTAATAGCAGCGAAGGAGGAAAGTGCCCTCTGCCTGGGTCTTACAGAATCGATTCTTAGAGGCTGGTGGAGGTGACTCCCTGGGTGACTTAGCACAGAACTGATTAAGAACAATGAACTAGATTGTGGTCTTGTACCCTGTGTCTCTCAAGAAACACATGGGTTATTTAAAAATAAATGAAAGGACCAGATAGATGTAGGCAAAAGAATAAATGGAGGAAAATGTATTAGGAGAAAAAACAGAACTATAGTAAAAAAATGTTTTATATGCATTAAGAAACCACTTAAAGGCAATTCTGAATGAATGACAGTAATATTTCTATCTGTGGAGGCACTCTTAGAATTAGTTTTTTGATTAGTCTACTTTGAAGAACAATAGTAACTTCAAAAGCAAATAGGCCATGGTACATTTCAGTTTAGTGAACTCATTCAAGGAGGCATATCTCATTCTTCATTCTTTACTTTGTGGATTGATTGGTTTAAGCATGTTTAAAATATACATGATTCTAGAATATTGAGTCCAAGACGAAGCTGCTATTGCTGAACCAAATAAAAAAGCTGAATGATTCTTTTCAGACACAAAAGAAACTTGATTGTACTGTGATTGAAAATGAGGAACATAATCATAAGAATAGACTGTTGCTTAAAGTGCCATCAAATGGCCTCCAAGGCTACCCCAGAATGTTTCATGAATTATTTGACATCAACCAGTATGTTCTGGATAGTGGTTACCACCATACACTCAGTCAGATAAAAAGAATAGCTCATGAATAAAAAGTAAGAGTTCAGGAGCTTTAGACATAAAGAAATCAAAGGAAAAATGCTGTCCACCTTGATTTTATCAGTGGATGCTGTGTATTGCATTGAAAGCCACTCTGAATCCCATTGATATATGCAACTAATGTATGTGAATAAAAGTATTTTAAAGTGTGTCTAGGAAATAAAGTAAACATTCTTAACTCCCAAAACTAATCTATTCTTTCAAAGAAACTAAAATGGTGGTTATATCAGAAAATGTGGCTGGGGAGAATGGGAGACGTTTAAAGGACACACTACTTAGTCAGACAAGGAAATAAGTCAGAGAGATGGAGTAAATACCGCCATCATTATCACTAAGAGCAAGGTAGCAAGGGATTACATATTTTAAAATTGCTGATTTTAACTGATCTCACTATAAAAGAACTGTCTGAAATAAGACACATGTAATGGATATGTATATCAAAGCAGGTTGTATACCATAAATAGATAATACTTTCTTGAAATTATATCTGTTTTTAAAAAAATGTTCCTGCATCTTCTCATTTGGTAAAAAAAATTACACCAACGATTATAAAACAGTCTATGACAGTATATACTATCATTTTATATATATTTATTTAAATTATATATAATTGATTATGATAACAATAAAATACTGTTCCCCTACCCTGTTCTGAGTGAACTGAAGCAGGTTCTATGTTAAATAAATAGCTTTATGTATTGCAGTATTTCTTAAATATTTTAATATAATTTCATACAATAGAAATTCCAGGGCTGGAGAGATGGCTAAGTGGTTAAGAGCACTGGCTGTTCTTCCAGAGGTCCTGAGTTCAATTCCCAGCAACCACATGGTGGCTCACAACCATCTGTAATGAGATCTGGTGCCCTCTTCTGGCCTGTAGATGTACATGCATGCAAAACACTATACATAATAAATGAATAAATAAAAAAATCCTTTAAAAAAAAAAAGGAAATCCCAGACCAATAGATATAGCCAAGTGTTTTCTAAAGATGCTTAGTCATTGCATATGCATGCAATTTGCACATATATGTGCATGTCTGTGCATATGCTAACAGTTCTCAAAACAGAGTTCTAATAATATTGCATATATATGTGTGTGTGTGTGTTTGTGTGTGTATGTATGTCCACATGTTTGTATGTTTGTATATGCTATACATACAGATATATGTATGTTTTCTTATGTAATGTCTTTCTGTTTCTTCTAAAATTCCTTATAATTTGTTTTACTTGTAAAATAAAATTGACAGATGCTGTTTTTCAATATAAAAACTATAATGACTCATCTATTAATCTCAGCTTCATTCCCACCTCTCTGGATCTCATTAGAATTGTTAAGCTATTTTGAAATAAATGGAGACTTTCAAACAGAAAACCTACTTTGTCCAAAGCCCTTTGAAAAGCAAATTACCTTAGCATAATTGCCAGCTATTAAGGTTTGTGATATGCATAAACATTCAAAAGGAAGTAGACCAAGCAGAGTATTGCACTAGGAGCGTAACTTCAGTTGTTCCCCAGGCAGCTAAAGTTCCTGATTACACAGACTCAAAGACAGGTTTAGGCACCTAAACAGTAAAGCTGGCAAATTACTAATGCCAACTATATAACCACAAATACAGAATTATGGAAACTAATAAAGATCATACATCGTTTATGACAGTTTACCTTGTAGTTATAATAGGGAGCTTGCTGGTCCTCATCCCACTGGCTTCCAGAAACAGAACTATTTACTTGCTTCATGATCAGTTTGTAGGGCACCTGACGTCCTGCAGCATCGCTGCAAGGAGCCCCTTGAAAAGGAACCTTTGCAATGGTGCAGACGTCATCCTAGAAATACAAAATGTTCATGTTATTATTAAGAAAATTTAAAAATCCAAATAAGACAAGTAATAAAAACTGTTAGAAATAGAAGATTCAGTATAATCTGACTGTACAGAATAATCATTAAATTGATAATAAAATGAAAATGCATGGCATTCAGAAACTTCCATATTAAAGAATTAAAAAGAAACAAAGTTTAGCTTCAAAATATATTTCAGAAATTATTTAAAGTTTCACATTTTCAAAGCAGAAAAAATATATAATGGAGTAATACTACATAACAAATAAGTTGTTATTACCTCTGACATATTCAAGCAGATATAATCATAACCATACCAGGGAATACCCATCACGAGTTTCTTAGGGCTAATGCCCATCTTGATGTAGTCAATATATCCTAGTCACAAGGGGATAGAAAAACACATAATTCTGTTTATATATCTGTTAATATGTACATAGAAGCTGGGCAGCCACGGGAGATCTTAAGTTTGTAAAGACAGGTATATTTGTGCAGATACATCTATGATATAATAAAAGTCATCCCTTAAGAACCAGAAGTCCATGTCATACTTTCTAAGCTTTCATTTTTAATAAGAGACAATATCCAATGAAGATGATATGAAAACAAAATACACAAAATATAATTGGAGAAATGAAAATTGCAAGAAACCAAACTAATTTTATGTGTTAGCTGTTAACATTTTTGATATTTGAGATTCTAAAGCTTCTATAATATTAAAACTTTGTGACAGTGATATTCGAAATTTCTTTTAGAAGTTCAACCATCTTTAAAAATACTCTGTATATTTCCTAATGACTACACAAGAAATGTCCTTGCTTTTATTCTGTAGTAACCTGTAGTTTCGGACACAAAGAATGAACAAACTCCAACTACTCATGAGAACCATGACTGACTGGATCTTGTGCCAGTCCTGTGCAGGCAGCCACAGCTGCTGCAAGCTTCGGAGTGTGCAGTCTTGTCAGAAGACACGTCAGCTCTGGCTTGTACATCCTTTCTATCTACCTCAGGTGGTCCCTGAGCCACGTGTGTGTGCGCATGCGTGCATGTGTGTGCGTGTGTGCATGTGTGTGCGTGCGTGCATGTGTGTGCTACAGTTCCCGTAAGTTCCTATTTGTGGTTGAGTCCATATACAACTATTGTCTGCACTCTGACCAGCTGTGAATTTCTGCATTTAAATATCATAATATTAGACAAAAATGTCTTGGCATATGACAAGAGTGTTAGACTTGAAGTATAATGTAGGATCAATAATAATATAGCTATCCCATGATACTGTAATAAGAAGTAAATGAAATTTTCAATTTTTTGTAAATACTGAAGCACTGCAATTTATTTTATCTTATTGTATAATAAATTTTATAATACATTTTATTATATTTTATTTATAAAGCAAGCTTTTGTATAAAAGGTAATTTAGAAAATAATTAGAAAATATTTTAGAATAACTAAAAGGTACTTTAGTGTGTGAGGTTTTGGAGTAAATATTACCAAGTGATCATTTCTTGAATTCTTACCAGTTAATGTCTGATTATAGGGAGCATTGGCTGCTGCAATACATTCTGACCAGATCTGACTTTGCTCATCATAAGACATCACAAAGAGAAAATCACAGGCACCCGCAATTCCAGTGTAATTATAGCACCTTTTGTCTATGTTCTTTGGTGACCAAGCTACATCAAATGTTACCTATGGGGAAAAAACTGCATATTATTTTATATAACATGGAAAAGTATATTATACCAGATTTTTAGCATTCTCTTGCCTTATTCTACTCAAGAATAAAGAACTGCTTACAGTGTATGCATATGTGATTGGACATGTATAGAAGAGGTCTAATAAATATATTTTGTTACTACACTGGGCTGGCTTGCACATGTGTCTGGATACACAAGGACCAGGAGCACAGCACTGTAAAGAAAAAGAATTCCAAATTCCGATGTTCTCAAAGGTTGGCTGGTAACTCACTGACTGAAAGAAGCAGGTTAAATAGTAACACACTATGATGGGGCCCTGGATAAGTAAAGTGAAGCCACATGAGAAAAAATCAAATACAGAAGACATCACCTCTTGGTACTACCTGAGGTATTCTGAGTTAGTCCCTGAATTATAATTATATGACATGGTAGGGTGGACCCAATATTACAGTCAGAGAATTGGGCTTCATTCATCAACTCAAAATGTTTAGCTTATCATTTAAATGATCTTACTTTCTGGACATAGCCAAATGAAACAGGTGATAAAATACCCTTTACTTTGAATGATGATCACCAAGGATGAGTCACTTCAAATATGCTTTTTACTTTAACGGAATATTAATAAGTTTTATTGTATAAAAACTTATAAAATCTCACCAAATGTTTTCCCTTAGTCAGGTACCCAGTAAACACTTACAAATTATAATAAAATGAGTTTTTATATAAAGTCTTTATATTTTGTCTAACTTATATCAGCAAAACTTTCAGACTTTCTCAAAGTTTCCCCTGTGATTCATTGAGTACTAACAGTTCTACAACAAATGGTTATGAAGTAAAATTTTTACATATTGGACCCATTTTGTCACTGCCTCTTAGTACAAAATGGGAGCTGTCTTGCAGTGGTAGACAGAGTGAGTACCTCTAAACAGTTAAATTCCAGTCTACGCTGTTACTGTTTATATGTCTTGAATACTAAGAGTCTTCGCCTGAATTGCCTGTCATGGTTTATCTTACACTTCTGAGAAAGGAGTGAGTGGTTAGAGACAGGAAGGGCAAAGCCTTGAGTTTTAGTGTTAGCTCGTACAGCTTCCCCTTGCTAAGTCACATGAGGCATCTGTCTTAGTTAGGTTTCTATTGCTGTGAAGAGACACCATGACCATGGCAACTCTTATAAAGGAAACCATTTAATTGGGGCTAGCTTACTGTTTCACAGGTTTAGTCCATTGTCGTCATGGTGGGAAGCATGGCAGCACACATGCACATGGTGCTAGAGAAGGAGCTGAAAGGATGTGATGTGCAGGCAATAGGAAGTGAATTGTCTACCACCCTGGACATAACTTGGACATACTGAGAGCTCAAAGCTTGTCCCCACAATGACACACTTCTCCCACTAGACCACACCATCTAATAGTGCCAGTCTCTATAGAACAAGCATGAGTCTATGGGGGCCATACCTAGTTAAACCATCACAGCATCTGAGTCTACTTTCAGAAGGAGGATGAAGAAAGAACTCTTTACAGGCATTTCCAGCTATTTAACTCTGCATTCTTATGAAGCTGTTCCCCACTCAAGGCTCTCTATTTTGGGCATTTTTGTTTTCTGATCTGTAGCTTAAGAACCTTTGAACCATGTCAGGAATGACTCCTTTTTAAGTGGTCTATCTTTTGTTCTGTTCTTTCCTTTTTTATAATGGAATTCTCAAGTATTATTTCAAGATTAACCTGTAAAAATGATATATACCTTTTAAAATCTTTTAATATATTCAGAACTGGCAAGATGGCTCGGGATAAAGGGACTTACCACCAAGTGTGGAAACCTGAGTTCATTCCCTGGTGGAAGGAGAGAAATGACTCTCTCTCTCTCTCTCTCTCTCTCTCTCTCTCACACACACACACACACACACACACACACACACACATTCATGCACAGATTAAATAAATGTAAATTTAAAAAATTAATTCAACAAACATTTAGCAAACATTTCCTGAGTGCAAGAGTGCTGCCATCATCCCAGTCTAAGCCATGAATCTCCTTCCTACTCCATGTGTCCATCCTTGTGTCTTCTAGTTTACCAATGAGTCTCGTATCAGCTCTGCTAGAATCACCTAAGTCCCACATTCGATGAATTAGTGTTAAGAAATTTTAAATAGCATCCTCACGTGATCTAGAGCAAGTTTCATAATCATTGGTTTATAGTGCTTATGATGCTCTACCTTGAATGAATATTAAGTGTATATATAATAGATACTCAAAATATATTATACATATTTTACATAATGGTGAGTTCTACATCCATTGATTCTACCTAGATAAAAATTGTTTGCTAATTGTCTATAGTGAACATGTGTGAATATTTTCTTACCCTTATATCCTCAAGATTACAATGTCACAGCTTTGTATGTAATATTTACATTCTATTGGGTATTATAAGTAATATAAATATGATTTAAAGTATATGGGCAGTTTTGCATAAGTTATATCAAATATTTGCCATTTTGTACATGACGTTAATATCTATAGGTTTTGATATCCAAAGTCCCGGAAACAACTTCCATGGATACCAAGGACAATGTTTATGAGTCCTACTTAAATAAATACTTTGACTTTATTGAGACAGCATCCCACTGTATAGCCCAGGCTAGCCTTGAAATCCCAGTATTCCTGCCTCTATCAATTAAGGACTGGGATTAAACATGTACCACCACATATAGTAGGACTTTAAATGTAGGGATCATTAATTTGCTCAGTGTGGTGGTTTGAATAGGTATGGTCCCCATAGACTCATGTGTTTAAATGCTTGGCCCATAGGTGGTGACATTATTAGGAGGTGTGGCCTTATTGGAGTGGGTGTGCCATTTTTGGAGGAAGTGTGTCACTGTAGAGGTTGGCTTTGACGTCTATATGCTCAAGCTACACCCAGTGTGGCACACACAGTCTTCTTTAGCTGCCTATGAATCAGGATGTATAGCTCTCAGCTCCGTCTCCAGCACCTCTGCCTGCATGCCACCATGTATCTCACCATGATAGTAATGGACTGAACTTGTGATACTATAAGTCAGCCCCAGTTAAATGCTTTCCTCTTGTAAGAGTTGCCAAAGAAACCCTAAGACATGACCTTTTTTTTTTCAGTGCTGGAGGTTGTACCCAGGGCCTCATGAATATTTCTGGAAAAGACTGTAGTATGTGCACACAGGTATTTAGGGTTTCGTTCTTTTTTACGACCCTGGGTTATCTTACTATGTGGCAATGTTTAACAGCCCTGATCTGGAAGCATGCAGCCCATTGCTACTTACATACTGTCTGGCAAGATGCCTTGTGTTGGGATCTGCTATAATTATGTTCATGGCCTACTCTTACAGTTCTGACTGGCTGTACAGCATTAGTCCTGCAAGCTTTCAGGAGTCCTGAGTGCTTTGCAAATAATATAGAGATTGCAGAGAATGAGGCAACTCCCCAGCACCACTTCTCCATTTTAGTGCCTGCTTTTTCTGCTCTGTACTAGAAAAAGGCAGTTTAGACCCTTCTGGCTTCCTGCTGCCCTACAGCCTGCAGTGGTGCAGTTAATTAGACAAAACAATCCCCATGTTGTATTTTGTTATTACTAGAAATTTAGGAACTTAAATAATATTAACACTCCAGAAAAGGTGTTCTGGGAAGTATATGCAGAAATTCCTTCACCATTACTATAAAACTAAGATATCATAAGTCATATTTTCATGAATATATTGATTAAAAACCAAAAACAACAAAAAATGAATATTTTTTTACCTGTGATCCCTCGATCTCACGATGGAAACATTCTGTGGTTTCTTGGACCAAAGCCGTCAATGCTTCATATTCAGGTGATAAGCAATTAACTTCTTGTTCTATGTCTATATTAATTCCATCCATAAATTGTATTTTGGCCAAATTAACTTTTTGAGCTATCCACGATGCTCTGAAGGTAGGATCAATGATATTCTTCAGGGAGACATCACCTTTGGAAGACACAGACATAATAATACAGATGCTTTTTCAAAGTTAAAAGCCATATACTTCACAAAGCCCAAAATGTCTTTGAGACACATTGTAATCTTTGGAATATTAAGCCTCTAATGTGCTTTCCAAATGGAGAAATCGTATGCTAAATAGCAGCCACTGCTGATTCATCCTAAAAATGGTAACTGTGAGTACAATCACTCTCAGAAGCAGCACTTGCAGGCCAGAAATAAAGGTCAGCATGCTGTAATTGGGCAATCACATTTTCTCAAAAATAAGTGGTTTTTTAACTTTTTAAAAAAAATCAGTATTTTTGGACTAGATTTAACAGTATCTACGATTAACTTTAGGTCTTGGAAAAGAAGAAAGGCATAAAAAAGGACTACAGTAAATAAAACACATACTTTTTTCCCATTGGCTAGGCACATGTGTCTACTAATAACATACCTTTTAGCACTACTCTGGCTCCTTTGGAATGAGCGTAACACATAAGTTCTGGGTCATATTTTCCAAAAACTGCCACAGTTGTAATCTGTGACCAGTCATAAGATTTCCAAGTTTTCTGTCCAACATCAAATACAAAGACCTGCCAGGAAAACAGGGGTGGGCACCAACACTTAATCCGAGATTATTATACCGACATCCAGATACATGAACCACTTCCATGTCAGGTATTGTGGTGGACACTGGGCACAGAGAGTGCAGGATGAAGACCCCAGGCTACCAGTGGAACTGCTGGCTACATGGGCCTGGAAGAAGTACTGGCCATTGTCAAGGACTGAAGACAAAACGAGCACAGTGACTATAAATGTTTACTATGGCAGACACCTAGGATTTAGAGAAAGTACAGAAAAGAAGCAGAGAATGGTTAATCTGGGGTAAACTGTGAGTGGCTATGTCAGTAATTCAGCCCTATTGAGAAGTTAGCATCCTGAGGGAAATGGAGAGAACAAAAGGATTTGTATCTAATAGAAACACTTTATTATAATGGACTCACATAAGAACATCACTCCTCTAAGGTAGCCACTGAAACTCCAAACTGTATCTCAGTGAACTTCTACACAGACTGAATGGCAATTCTGAAACCACAGAGATTCACTTAAGGTTTTGTACTTTTACTATCGATTATATATATATATATATATCAAGCAAAACAAAACAAAAAGTTTGTGACAGAGTTGAAATGAGAAAACCATCCAATTTCCACATTTATGGTTTTTGTGTTCTTTTGCCTGCGTTCCTCATCACCTAAAAGGAAAAGGAATGTGTCTAGAAAAATCTGCTGCTGCTGAAGTGAGAAAGGGACCCAAACTGGAATCACAGGAGGGAGGTGTTAGGATGGATGAGACAAGATCATAAGTGGGATCTCCACGAAGGTGGGAGCAGTGCAGCTAATGTCACAGAGTTTGATGATCTCCAGCTTCTTCCTATTTCAGATGGAGACACGGATATTTGTTGTTTTTCTGTGTACTCTTGATGGAGCTGACTTAGAATAGCAGTCAAGTCCAATTTTAAAGTATCTAATTTGTTCCTCCAGCATCCTTCCCCTCTCAAAGACAATTCTAGAGGCACAAAAGCATCACTGTTCATGTTCCTTTTATCTCAAGGTATTAATTTATGGATCTTGTAAATTCTTAATGAATTCCATTAAAATGTAGGAGAGGCATTTTGCTCTGCACTAGTGGCACAGCAATACCACAATCACCTAGGAAATTAATTACAATAGCATTAAAGCATGCAAGGGGATGCAGGAGCCTGTGATACCATATAAGGGAATCTGCTAGTCAGGTGACAAGAAATTCACAATGACTGCAAGTTAGGGGACTTCTGCAACCGGGAGGATGAAAAGGAAGATATACTTACAGACAAATGAACGTTTGCAGACAACAATCAAAGTCAAAGTCCTTACAACTAGGTATTCTAAGACTCCGGAACCAAAGGCAGCTACAACACGGAAATGCTAGCGAGAATGGAACCATATAAAATTAATAAATTAGGTGACACCCTCAAGCAGCATCTTGAGGACCACAGAACTGTTCATTTTATCTGGCGATCCATTAGTGTTTGAAGCAGGGGTGGCACATGACATTGGCACTAAAAATAGAGGCTTAGGGGACCACAGGAGGACGGATGGGGAAGGGCTGTGTAAAGCAGTAACCATAACCACGAAGGCCAACATTTAATTCTCTTATCCTCTTATTTTTCAGAATTAACTATGCATAGTTCATTTTTTTTCCTGCCAAGCAACTATCCAATAAACTACACACACAATGTGAAACTGAATGACCCAATGTTTTAATTCTCATAGTTAAGATTCAACTTGTTAAAAACAAAAACCCCATCTAGGGCCTTTGATAAAACAACAACCACTCTCAATCTTGGAAATCCAAAGGAAGAGGGTGCTGAGTCTGACATGGTGGAGAATGATGTTGTGTTTAGGTGACTATTACTGGGATGAGCACCAGGACCAAAGCAGCTCAGAGAGGAAAGGGTTTATTTAGTTCATGCTTCCACATCGCAGTTCATCCTCCCAGGAAGTCAGGACAGGAACTCAAACAGCGCAGGAACCTGGAAGATTGCTCAGCCTGCATTCTTGGAGACCCCAGGACCACTTACCCAGGGATGGGCACCACCCATAATGTGGCTCCCACATCAATCACTGATTAAGAAAATTCCTTGCAGGCTTGCCTACAGCAGGATCTTCTGGAAGTCTTTTCTCAATTGATGACCCCTCCTCTCTGAAGACTCCAGTTTGTGTAGAGTTGAGGGAAAGACAGCCAGTACAAATGGTGCTGATCCTCAAGGCCCCAGTATCCCCCCGTACACACACATATATACAGTGGGAGGGAGGTCGTATCATCTAGTCTCCCCATTTCAAAAACAAAAAGCCAGTGAAGGCCTTGTTACTATGAATATATCAATGTGCATACTTTTGTTTCTTTGTGTGTGATTCAAAAAGCTCACAAATACTATATAACCCACTAAGTATTGAGTACCACAATAAATCAGACTGTTATAAAATCACTTAATTATGGGGAGGAGCTTCAGGCTGAAACCAGTCAACTGACTAATCTCTGGCTGGAAGTCCAGCCAGATCATAAAAATGTAAACAACTATCCTTTGTTAACCAACTACTTCTCTTTCAGATTTGGCCCGTAATAAAAGACCCATTACTCAGAATCTTAACTTCTGAGCCTTCTATAATGAGTGCTGCTCATGACCATTGCTCAAAGAAACGTTAATGGATCCAAATCTTTCCCTTTATAGGATGTTAGGTTTCCACAGTAGGAAGAATCTACAAAAACAGTAACTATTTTTTCTAAACAATGTGTGCAAACACAGGGATTTAAATATCTATGCCTCAAAACCAAATACAAGGCTAAGACCCATGAATTGTTCTTTCTTTGCTCCAATTTGTTAGACTCGACCCTCTGACCTCTCTGACTTCCTCCAGGTCCAGCTACTGCTGTCAGCTCGTTATGTGACTTCATAAGCCTTAAGATTGGGTTAAAGGAAAGTTTACTCAAATACTTGTTTTTGTCCCACTCCTGGGTGGGTGAGCGTCCATAACGAAAGAACTAATCCGCTTGAAGAGTAAAGGTCAGCAGAACGTCGGGAGAACCGGATCTCCTACCCTCGCCACAGGAGGCTGAGCAGGCAGGGACAGGAGCCAGCCTTGGGGAAACCGTGGGGCTGGAGCACTAGCGGGCTCAAGCAGCGGCCGGGGAAACCGCCCAACCCCTGCGCCCACAGTTCCCGTCTACTCTGAAGGGAATCGGAAAAGAGGAAGGCTCGGGTGGTTCACGCTGCTGTGAGCGCCGCGACTTCTCTTTCGGCCTCGAGTACCAGACCGATGGGCAGAGAGAGTGCTGACCTCGAAGTCGGGGCGATGGCGAATCGGTCGGCAGAGCGCAGCGTCTGAGCACGGGCAGTCCCCAGCCGAGAGCCGGAGCGCCAGCAGCGGCAGCAGCAGCAGATGTGTGAGTCCCGGGACAGCGCTCAGCTCCATGCCTGGGGTGCGGGAGGCCCGGAAGGCACCTCCTGAGGGGCGGAGCCTGCTGCAGAAGGGCGGGGCCTGCCTGCCTGCTGCGGGGTGCCTGTTGCCTAGAGGGCGGGGCCTGCTCGGTGGGGGTGGGGCCTAGAGGGCGGGGCCTAGAGGGCGGGGCCTGCTGCAGTGGGGGTAACTTGGGGCCTACAAGGTAGCTCAGCTCGATCACTTTTATCTTCTATGTCCTTTTTCACCGTGCCATGGTTGTGTGTTCTGAAGGATTTTTGCTCATCCATCTTACAATTGTTTTAGAATCATTTGCTTAACATTGCTCCCCCCTCGTATCCATGTCTGAAGCTCAGTGCCAGCTTGGCTTGTGGTAAATACTTAATAAATCCGTCGTAAATACTTAATAAACTCCAAGAGCTCATGTTTTCTTTCTAAAACTAAAATTCGATCAGAAAGAAAAAAAGGGCATTCTTTTCCAAGTCTCTACACAGGATGTTAAAGAAAACATGTAAAATAAATGGAGTGATATTATTATCTTATTACCAGATATTTGCTTGTGTGTATTGTGATTTCCCAGCATAAAATAAAGTGGATTTAAAGATAAAAATTCCTTGCAGTGATCTCTGCGTTAGAGTCACAACTTCACGAAGCACCTTTCCTTTTGTTATCAGAATGCGACAGGGCAGTTTCAGCAGGCTCCATCACGGTGGGTCTCAACCTTCTGTAGCGCGAGTTCTAATCGGTCTAATGTCAAAAACCCAGAGTCAGATATTAGGGGGTGGAAACAAAAGGATCAGAGAAGCAGAGCAGCCACTAATTCTTACCTCTATGAAATCCTCAGACTGAAAGGGGTGTCCCGACTATACAAGTCCTCAGAATGAATGTCTCCTCCAGCCCTATACTCCTCTCTCTGCCCAGTCATTTTCCTTCCTGTCTCCACCTCCCTAGGGAAAGGATTAAAGGCTTCTGACTCCCAAGTACTGGGATTAAAGGTGTGAGCCACCACTGCCTGGCCTCTATGACTAACTAGTGGTTTAGCTCCACACTCTGATCCTCAGGCAAGCTTTATTTGTTATAGCACAAGCAAAATATCAGCACAACCTTCCTATGCTGTGATCCCTTAATACAGTTTCTCATGTGTGATGAGCCCCCTCCCCAACAATAAAACTATTTTCATTGTTAATTCATAATGAAAATGCTTGCTACTGTTTTTTATCTTTTTTATTCATTAATTTATTTGTTTATAAAAATTTCCACTTCCTCCCTCCTCCCCATACCCTCCCATTCTCCCCAC